AGGAAGGAGGCTCCTTAAACTTTTCAGGGAGCACAGACTTGCCACCCTCAGTTTGGTTGGCTGGCAGTTGTCAGACCCTCTGACCCAGGGAGTGAAACTCCTGGTGAAGCCCTGAACCAACGACCAGTCCAGAGTCTGGGATTAACACTGAGTCTGACTCTGCAGTGAGATAAAGCTGTATGTACCTTTCTCCACGCTCAAAGGATGAGGGCAATTGCCTGCAATCAGCACCCAATGCAGCCTGTCTACACTACCAGAGGCCTGCCAATCATTCTCCCTCCTAGACTTATTTAAAAAAAAAAATGGTTTGGGAGACAGAATGGAGTTTTTTATCAAAGACCAAGCCTACAGCAGGCAGGTTTAGACAGAAAAACAAGAAAGCAAGGTAGTCTCCATTTTACTTCAGATGAGTTACAGGGCCTGCTTTGGTTCTGTTTTTTTTTTTTTTTATGACTATTTAATTGCCCACTCAGTTTTGAAACACATATCATATAATAGTATCTATGAATCCCTTTGGTTCTTTGTTTGGCAATTCTTTATTCAACTGTTGGGTGTGGAACACCATGCCGGGTGCTGCCATCACAATGTTTGCTTCTCATTGTGTTTGATCAATCGACTCAGTCCTAAACTATCATGCGTGTAAGGGTCAGATGGCTTGCTTAAGTTTTAAAGGATGTAAGCTATTTCGGTTTGGGCCCAGTCAGACTTCTTCCCATCACTGATTGATTGGCTACTCAGGGGGATGGGAGGATATGGTTGCTGAAGCGAGTGAGTCTTAGGCTGGAGATGGTCCTGGGGAGTTCGACACCTTTCCTAGCTGCGGATGAGGAGGAATGCACTCTTGTACGTTACAATCAAGCATCCCAAGTTTACAGGGACCCAGATTCCAAACACTCAAACTTTTGAGGTTTAATGCCCAAAGCCTGGAGGGTTCTTCTGGATTTATAGGCATCCTCCACCAGCAGCTGACTTAAGGCTATGACCATAAGGTAAGGAAACCAGCCTCCCCCACTGCTTTGGTGGGTATAATTGGAGATGTTTTCTTTCTGCTGTCTTTCTTACTCTCCTTCTTCATCTGGAAGCGGAACAATCGCTCTAAAATTAACCCCGCCAGGACTCCATGACCACCAGAGTAATAGGCATAAATTCTAATTTGGTCCCCAGATCGTATTTCTTGTCGGTATTTTAGTTTTAAATAGGCATCTAAGTCTCTACCTCCACCGATCTCCTAATTTTGAAGCCCCTTTCTGCCCTTTTGGTTTCTAGCTCTTCCATGACAGAGCTATCCGAAGGGAGTATTGGATTTCTCCAACAAAGCGTAATTCACTTCATAGGCCACAGCGGAAATCTGACCCCCTCACCACAATCACCCAGAATCAAGCCATTAGACTCTCAGAAAGTGGCTAATCACACTCCTTTCCCCCTCTTGTGCCAGAGAGGGCCTCAGAACTTACCCCTCCTTCCAGAGGGCTTGCTATCCACCCAAGCTCTCCCTGAACAGATCTGGAATCCAATAAAGTAACTGCAAAAAAAAGTATAAAAACACAAAGGAAAATAGATTAATTTCCAATTGCAAAAAGCCAATAATACAAAAACCATTTGCCTGAGCGTTTCCATATGTGTTGAGGGTGCACATATCCACTCTGACCAAAACTCAAACTCGACTCACTTATGTAAATAATCACTCCTCACATGGTCTTCTCTCCTCTTTAAATCTGCAGGTTCTTATTTATTTAACTTGCTTAGCATTTAAAATTCCATCCCAGGACCCAATTGATTCTTTTTTTTTTTCTAAAAAGGATGAATAGGGCATCTCAAGCACAATTCAAACAAAATAAATATATCAGTGTAGGACAGCAACACCAGAGAGCAAATTCTGCATTCATCTTTGTCTGCTATCTACTAGATGTATTTGTTTTTGCAAGCCTCAGATGACCACATAACTCACCAGCGGTGGTGACAGACCCACAAGTGAATGCTATCAGAGGACCCAAAGGGTCATGGAAAAGGCTGTCCTCGCCCCCCTCCCCCTAACCCACCCCCACCACACCATCAAATGAATAGGCCCTGGACGTAGCATCCGCCGCTTTTTTAAATATCAAAGTTCCAGAAAGAGGGAATGCCGGACGGGTGGGGTTAAAATGCAAATGTACTGAAGTAGTCTCTTTTTCCGAGGTCCTTTGGAGGACAATCGAGATGAGCCCTCCACCCCCAGGAAATGGCTGGTTTGAATTTTAGGTATGGAGTGCTGCCTAATGGATTTAGTATGCTTGCGCTACACCTAACGTTGGGCCTCCAAGCTAGGGGGAAGGGAGAAGACACCTCCAGAGCTGCGATACCTTTCTCAGGGTGGAATAAAGCTAGAGGTGCGGACGACATTGAAAAAGAGGCAGTGGATTCAAAATCTATCACATTGCCTTTCCCACCACGGATTTTCACGCCTGGGGTCGAAAGGCCCATCTAAAAGGGACCCTTGGATTATTAATTTGATCAGGGAGGCTGGCTCTTTAGGATGGGGGAGGGGTGGGAATGGGAGGCCTCTGTCCTTGCAGGCGGAGTACCCCAACTCTCACAGTCTCACCCCCAGGGCCTGGAATTCTGCCCACCTCCCCTCATTTTACTCCTCAAATCAAGGAAGCTCCAACCAGCCCCTTTGCCCTAGCTCTCCGAAAGCTCCTGTATTCCTGGGGTCTATTAATTATTCTAACATGTAGATCCTTCTCCGGGTCGCTCCGGCCTGGAGTTGTGGTCCCTTCTCTCTTCCCGGTCCCGAGAGAAAAGCCCCGCTACATCCACTTGGATTTATGTAAGGTGGATTAGGAACACAAAGGAAACAATAAGACCCAATTTACAAAAAAAGGGAGGGAGTAGAAAGGGAGGGAGAAAAGGAAACGTGACGGGAATAAAAAGCAACAAAATGAATTAATTTTTAAGGGAAGGAGGGGCAAGGGGGTGCAGCTCCCCTCCACTTCTTTCAACATGAGCCTACGGTTGCATCGAGCGCCTTTTTTGTCTAGGGCGCCCAGTCTTGCTTCCCAAAGGGAAAGAAGGGAAAAATTAAAGGTAAAATGAACCCTAACCCCAACTATCTCGACGTCTGAGGCGAGAGAGGTCTCAGGGGACACACTTAACAAGTGTGTGGAGTAAGTAGCCCGAAGAACGCGAGGTTCGCGGGTTCCGCTCCGAGGAAAAGCCCTAGGGACAGAGCGGCAGCCGCTGCCGAGTTGCTAAAGCGAAACCACAGACCAAGGAGTGAGGAGGAGATGCCGAGGGGAGAGATCACCCTTCTGCCCCCAACCGCCCCCTCCTCCGCCCCCGCAGTGTCTGTGGGCAGGTGGATGACAGTCTCCAAGCCTCCGCCGGGAGAGCTCCGGGTACCCTCTGCCTAGCCAAGCCTAAGTTGGTTTTTGGCTCCCTCCTTCGGAACAGAAAAAATGATAGTGGATTGCACAGGAATAGATAGATGGACAGATGCCTGAGGAGACGGGGGATGGAGAGATGGATGGATGTTTGTAGGGAGTGGGAAGAATCGATGAGACAGATAGATGCACAGATAATGCACGCTGGTTGGGGCACGAACACAGGCCGGAGCCCATGTTCACACACTGTGTGCACTCGCGGTACCCGGCACAAATCTCCCAGGTCCATGCAGGCACCCGCGCCAGGCACACATTTGCCCTCAAACACACACACACACACACACACACACACACACACACACACACACACACACACACACACACCACGCGCTTGAGAGAGACACAGAGACACAGAGACAGAGAGAGCGCTCTCCTCCCTCTGTGCCCATCAGGAACTAAATGGTCACTATCTCTCCCTCACCTCGGACAGAAAAAGAGACTAACAATCCTTCCATCACGTCCCAATAGACAAACAGAAAACAGCACCCGAATGGGTCCCGTCGGTCATGCATGTCCCTTCTAGACTAGTCCAGTACACCATTCCATAGAGAGCAGCTTAAAGTGGGCCGTGTTTAACTCGCTGGCTGGTCCCTAGGTTCACAGGATGATCTACGGATCTGGGGTAGGGGAGAGGTAGGCCTGAGATTGCAACCTCCAGGGTGACCGGCCCGATGGAGAAAAAGGTGTCTGAGGCCCAGTGCTGGAAATCAGGTCACCGGCGCCCGACAAGCGGCGCCACCACCGCTGCGCTGCGGAGACCAGGCAGCCGGGTCCCGGGAAGCGCAGCGCTGGGAAAACTTTGCAGAAACCCGGGCTCGCAAGCCTTGGACAAGAGGCCAGGCGCGCTAAGCCTTCACTGCGCTCCACATCTGCGTTTCCCCTCTAGCCTGGGCTGCTGATGGGGAGGACTTGGCGCACACGTTTTTTTGTTTTGTTTTCAAATCCTGGTGTTAGCCCTGTGTATCCCCTCGGGGCGGCTGGAGCCGGCCTTGCAGGCGAATGCAGATAAACTTTGGCCTTTCACTACAAACTTGGGCAGAGTGGCAGCTTGCGTCGGTCACCTCCTCAGTTCAGGCTGCCTGATCGTCCTCCGTTTCCCCTTCGAGGGTCCCCTCTGTCCGACACCTTCTCTGGAGTGGGGACGCGAGGCTCACGCCACCCTCCCCCTCACCCCCCACCCCATCCTAACTGGCTCGGAGCTCCTGGAAGACCATTCATCAGCTAATGACCTGGTCCGGGTCCCAGACCGCAAAAGGGCTGCCGGGCTCTTACCTTCATTCGCGGGGTATACCCTAGAACCGGTGACAGCGTCGCAAATCCCAAAGAGAAACGAAAAGAGGACGAAATAGAAAATCCCAGCCATGGTTCGCCGGTGCCAACGCTGCTCCTGCCGCTTCTATCCCAGTGGAATAAATGCTTAAGTTAGGAGTGCAGCAGTCTGAAGACATTGCCAAGAGGGTGGGCCCGGCCCGTGACGTACGCCCGCCAGTCCGGAGCTCACGACCAATGGCAGTGCAAAACGGGCGCCACGGCCCCGCCCCCACGGCGCAGAGCCCGCCCCGGGTCCCGCCCCCTCCAGCCTCCGCAGGGCGCAAGGTCTCCCGAGGCTGGATCCGCAGCGGTGATGGGTCTCTGCCCTCGCGGGCGTCCGCGGGCCTTGTCCTCCGACACCTCGGGGATCGATCCCCTGGACGACGGAGGGGACTTCGAGAGACTCTGAGCGGACGGTGGGGAAGGCCAGAAAATGTTGGTAGCCTTCCCCACTAGTCGGGCGGTGTGAGAGGGGAGAACAGACTCGGGTTGAGATGAAATAAGTCTGAAGTTGACCTGCCCCTTGGCTCTCGTCCCTTGCTGAGGTCGTCGGGTCGCCGTCCCGCCCGCCCCAGCTCAGTTCGGGCGCTCCCTGTCGCTCGCCGCCACCGCCACCCCTCTGCCTCATTCCCCGGTTTTGTGTCTTTATGGCGCTCCTCCGTGGGAAACGCTTTGGGGTAAGGGACTTTCGAAGCTTGGTTACTCGCTTCCTTCTTAGTTACCCAGCCCAAGGAGCCTAGTCGTCTCCAGTGTCCCCCCAGCAGCAGGGCGCAGACACTGTCCCCACCCAGTCTTTCTGCCGTCGGGAAGTGCCAGGTTCGGGTGTTCACGTCGACCGAGCCCGGGCCCGGACTATAAAGAGTAAAATCACCCCCGCGACGGCCCAGGTTATCGGGAATCCACTACGCATTTTCCTGGGAGAGTCCCTGCAACCAGGTCTAGCCATTCTGGGACACCTAGGTGTAGACGGGAAGGGTCTAAGAATGCCGACACCTGATGCACAGACGGGGCAGACTGAGGGTCGCAAGCTGCCTGGAGCAGCCACTGCGGCTCTGAGCTCCGACGTCTCCCGGTGCTGATGGGGACTGTCTCCCGGGAGACCAAGGTGAGAGGCCCTTCACGCAGAAACTTGCCCCACAACCCCGCGTGGTCCTGGGTGCCAACTCTCGACCTCCCAGGGACGCAGGCACCATCGGACCGCGCTCGGTCCTCCGATGCTCAGGCCACGGGAGAAGCCACTTGAGCGCCCACCGGAGACAGCAGCTCGGCCAGCTGCCTGAGCCCGGAATGCAACTGGGTCCCCAGGCGGTTGGAGGACTAGGATTCCAAAGGACGCGTCTCCCTTACTCCCCTCAAGTCGCCCCCTCCTTTGGCTCCCTTCCGGGCCGGGTTTTCCTCCTGCAAGTCTGGGTCTCAGCCCGAGAGCGATGCCGGGGAGGTGGAGGCACCTTGCAAACGGCGGGGGCAGCGGCTCTACATGAACCAACCGCGCCACCTGCCGGCCAGATGCAGGAGCTCGCGGGCCCGGAGCAAGGCAGGACGGACAAAGACCCAGAGAGACCGCCAGACAGGTGGTCCAAACCCGGCTGGCAATTTATTTAAGCCACCTGCCCAGGTCCTGCCATACTACAGTGTGGGGAGTCCTGTCGCGCCTCCCTCCGCCTTAGACCACGAAAGATGGACTCGGAAGGCGTTTCATGCAGAAACTTCACATTCGACATTCGAGGTAGCTTGTCCCCCTAAAATGGGAATCTGAAGTAAAAAATCCGAGCGGCTTGGCAAGGTGTGGAGCGGGGAGCCAATCGAGCGTGGCTCCAGGCAGATTTCTGGTTATTGTCATGGAGAACCGATCGTGTTTCCCCTCCAGGGCTCAAGAACTGGGCTGGCAAACTCAGACCCCGGGTAATCACAACAGCAACTTTCACAGAAGGCGAGAGCGCTTGGCGAGGCGATGGGCAGTAGCTGAGTCGTTGGCCCAGAGGGACAGTGCGTAAGGCTCCTGGCTTTTTGACTCTGCGGCGAAAAACCTATTAGAATTTCACCCACCGGGAAAAGTGGCTTTCCCTTGTTTAGCTACTGATTTCACATCATTGAAGCGGGGGGCGGGGAGACTATGCACACGAGAATGTATGTGTGCGTATGAATTATTAAAAATAACCGCGCTAAGTCCCCTTAAGGAAAGTCTGATTCTTTCATGTGTCTTTCTGGGTTTTACAGAAGGAAAAAAAGAAAAATAAGATATAGGTCCCTGTCATTCGGCACACGGATTCCAAAGAGAAAAGAGCAACCCAAATTCTTAGAAAACATTTTTAAACAATAGATGCCGGTTGTGTCTCGGCAGGAGAACGAGTACTTTATATTATCTATATAGAAATAGAAAACTACCTGCCTGTCTCATTCAAAGCGGTAACGTTTCCACAACACGCACAGCACCCCAGGTGCACAGTGCATATTAACGGTCTTTTTCCGGCTGCAGATGCCTGAAGAAGCAAGGCATCATAAGCAAAGATCACAATTCTCTCCCTTTCCCTCTATTACATTTTTTTTTTCAGGCATCACAGCAACACAGCTGCGAGGAAAACCAAGAAACTAAAGGCTACTTGAGGAAAAGCATCCTGTTACTTCCCCTGGTGAAGTCGTTGTTAGTGACTGCCAAAGAGGACTGCTCTCCTGTCCATTGAGACGACATAACCGGACAAATACGATTCTTTCTTAAACTCGTGCAGAAATGAAAACATGATATTGGTCCATGTGACCACCAATTCAGAACTGGCCAGTGCAATGTATACTCTAAGACCCTGGGGTTTTCAAGTGTGCCCCTGTTTATACCAAACTAGGAGAGTCACATACACACAAGAAAATTTTGTAGTTTCAACTACCACCAAAATTACTTGCCTCTAAAACAAAATACCTCACCGGGTGTGGCACACACTTTGAATCCCAGCACTCCAGAGACTGAGACAAACAGATCTCTTGTGAGTTCCAAGGCAGCCTGGTCTACATAGTGAATTCTACCCAGGGCTATCCAGTGAGACCACGTCTCAATACATACATACATACATACATACATACATACATACATACATACATACATACAATAAATGTAAAATTAAATAGCTGGATTTATTTAAACCCATAAGAATTCAGGTATGCTTTGGGAATACTAAGAGACATGTCAAAATATATGCGCTAATAAGCATATCGAAAAGAGTAATTTAGATGAACTTTTGTCTTTCTGATATGTTGCCTACCATTAAGACTTGAGCTACAAACGAAACTGCAAATGCTGAGTTGAAATAAGGCTAGCTTTAAAAAATATTTCTGTTTTTAACATTAAAAATGTGTGTGTGTGTGTGTGTGTGTGTGTGTGTGTGTGTGTGTGTGTGTGTGTATACCATTTATTTGAAGGTACCTGCAGAGTTCAGAAAAGGGCTTGAGATCCCCTGACACTGGAATTACAGGTGATTGTGAGCCACTTGACATATGAGGGCCAGGTTATTGGGGGAGGTGGTTCTATGGAAGTACAGCAAGTGTTCTTAACCCCCAGGCACCTCTTCTGCCTCCCCACCAGTCTGCACATCAATAAAATAATAACTGTAGATATTACTACATTGAGAAGTCATTGTGAACTTGAATTCCACGAGGACCTAAGCCCTCAGACTTTCCTTTCGTGCTACGTGAGAACAAGGGCCGTGAGTTCACTAATTCCTGGAATGGGAAAGGGTGGAAAATGATTTGGAGTTTCTTCCCTTCTCTCACTGTTGACTGATGACAGCTTACCTTTGTCTCTCGGATCCCTGGATGACTCACTGGGATTTGAAGCCGGGATTGTATCTCCAAATACAATAGTTGCAAAAAGAACCAAGGAAAACAAGAAGAAAGGGTGCTAAGGGTCACTGAAAGCTCTCACCTTCTTCAGGAAAACCTTTGAGCTCTGAACTATCACATTTGGTGGGCTCCCCGGAAGCCCAGTTAGAGATTTTATTCTTTGATGTCAAGGTGTGGCACAGTGTCTTATGTAAATGAGAAACAGGACTCTTACCAACCTTTACACCTGAGTGGGAAAGATGGCAGCAGAGCCCAGATTTTGGTGGATCAGGAAGCAAGGAGAGTAGGCCACACACAGCAAGAGGCCTTTTGCAGACAAGGGCTGGCTAGAGTACTCCAGGGGCTAAGTGTTTCGATTCTACCCACTTCAAACCAACACTCTTCTTGTGCTGGCCAGTGCAATGTACACTCTAAGACCCTGGGGTTTTCAAGTGTGCCCCTGTTTATAGCACACCAGGAGAGTCACATAACCACAAGAAAATGCTATAGCTGCAACTACCACTGAGATCACTTGTCTCTAAAATAGAATAGCTCACGGGGTGTGGCACACCCCTTTAGTCCCAGCACTCCCAAGGCAGAGACAAGCAGATCTCATGTGAGTTCCAGGGCAGCAGTTCTGGGGTACCAAACACCTTGTTTGTAAGGGGTCACAGGTTCCTTCTATGGAACCATGTGAATGTCATGTCACCTTCCGTGCGGTAATGTGAGAGACCAGAGAAATGGTCACAAGTCTTTCCTTCTGCAACCCAAAAGGATGGTGAAGGGAGCGAGGGTACAGACAGGGATCCTCTGGACAACCCTACCGCAGATCTGGAGTCTTCCAACCAAGTTTCAGATACAGAGGTGTAGAGAAGGTGGGGTGGGGGGTGGGGGGTGGGAACAGAATTCAGACCAGACGCTTTGTTTCTGCACACCTTGGGCTGCACTGTGAATTCCAGTTTAACATAAGAGTTACTTTTTTTTTTTTTTAAATTTTGGTTTTTTGAGACAGGGTTTCTCTGTATAGCTCTGTGCCTTTCCTGGAACTCACTCTGTAGCCCAGGTGGGCCTCGAACTCACAGAGATCCTCCTGCTTCTGCCTCCCGAGTGCTGGGGTTAAAGGCATGCGCCACCACCGTCTGGCTACTTTATTTTTTTTTTTTAACATGCCCAAATGAAGTACAAAAGGCTCTTTCCTCAGCATCTTTCCATACACTATCTATGATGCCCGTTCCCTCATTCCAATGCAAATTGTGAAAGCCAACTTATATGTCATGGTTATTAAATGCCTTTTTAAAAATATCTATTTATTTATATATTTCCTGTGTATGAATGCTTTATTTGCATGCATGCCTGAATGATGGAAGAGAGCATCAGACAGGAGAGGGCATCAGATCCCGTCATAGATCATTGTGAGCTACCATGTGGTTGTTAGGAATTGAACTCAGGACCTCTGGATGAACAACTAGTACCCTTAACTGTGGAGTCATCTCTCTGGCTCCCATATCTCAATCCTGTAATAGCTGAAAGAGGGTGACTAAAAGACTTTTGGGGATTGTCATTTTTTTTATAATAAACTAACAGTCATATATGTGAAAAACATGAAGTCTGTACAATTTACAAAAACCACTTTAAGAGAAATAATATCTATTTGGAATACCAGTTCATAAGCTTACAACCGCTGCCCCTCCCCCCCTTTTCTTTTTGGGAAAAACAGTGCCCAATGGCAATGGAACTCTGTAAGAAAGTAATATTGACCATGACCATGTTTCTGTCTAATGAGGATTTAAGTTTAGAGACCCAACTTTCCCCTCTCCCATCAAACTAAAGCATGGGCTTGCTATGCTCTGAACATTTATTTCCCACTTTCCAGGGAATCTCTGGCTGTTCCAAAATGTTGAAAAGGCCAGAATAAAGGGCGTTTGAGGTTTCTTTAGATAATGGAATGAGTGTAGTTCTGGAGGAAATACCGCTTTTAGGATTGTATTTCTGTTTTTATTTCTTCAGCCCAACCATGTATGTTAGTTGGTAACAAAGAAGAAGAACCTCTTCCCTACAACGACTGTGCTTCTCACCAGAGGCAGGCAGATCTCTGTGAGTTCGAGGCCAGCAGGATCTACAAAGCGAGTTCAAAGACAGCCAGGAAAAAACAAACACACAAACAAACAAACAAAATAAAAGTTGTGCTTCTGGACCATCTTGTCAAAACATCTAAAGACATCTAAGATTCTGGAGTGCTTGGGACTGGCGTTGTTTAGAGGTTTACTGGACACAGATTGAAAAGCAATAGAGAGTTCATAGAATTGTAACCCAGAAGCTTTTGGGCAAGCATATGTCCTACCACTTTAAACTGCTCTCAGCAGCCCTCTTGCCCCATGGGTACCTGGAATCCCACTTGATGGTGTATATGTCTGCACAAACAAACTGGCTTAGTTCAGGCAACGGATGAGTCATTTGAAGTAGGGAGGTAAAAAGAAACAGTTAGTAATGGACCATTTGGCTCCAACTGACATTTAAAAGTCTATCAAGTTTTGTTTTTCTCCTTTGTATTTAACTCCTCACATGTATTCATCCTGGGCTCTCCTCTTGCTGGATGATGAAGATGTTAAAAAAAAGGAAGCATGAAAATTTGGAGAATGGTATCCCTGTGAACTTTATGATTCATAATTTTAGAAAGCACCCCCTTCCTGCCTCCAAGTTTATCAAAGGCTGTCTGAACTGTGTGGGATTAATCTCTGCTCTGCAGGGGTATTTATCTATTATAAAGGAGGTAGAGTTTGCTGCATGAGATTTACTCCTAGGTTCCATATTTAGAGTTAGCAGGTGGAGTAATACACATGAGACTACTCCCAGTTTCTTACTTTCATCCCTTGGAGCTCTGAAGTACAAGGAACTTGAACAAGCACCCACAGAGTATAAGTAAGAGTAAGATTCCAAAGTACATTCCCCTTAAGAGCAAGCTCTGATGACCGCCACTTCCACCTGCCTATTTATATTATGTCAGACACCTCTCAGAGACAATTGCACATTGGTAGGAAATTAATCGGGTCCGTCCCCCTAAATGGTCAGTTTGCTGTAGCTTGGCAAAGTGAATCTCACTTCCCTGTGTGTCTCATTAGCCTCTCACTCGAAACTTGGATGGTTTTCACTCGGATTTTTGCAACTTGAAGTGCATGGAGAAGTGTCTAGCTGTATCCGGCGCCCCCTTACAGATTTAGTTACTCCCTGAACGGCAGTGCAGAACTCACAGCCCAGGTAGAAAGTGCTGCTGCGAGCTGCAGAGGCGAAGAGAAAATTGGGGCTGCATTGTATCTTCCCACTTAACAGCTTTCTTTAGCAAGGCTCTTTTGGTGTCACTT